ACTCGCAGATGTATGCGCCTGTCACCTTGCGCAACGGCTCGCTCGTCAAGAAAACCATCTCTGTAATATACCATGCAGCTTACAATACTCACATGTCCAGATCTCATGGTGGTATGAAACTTGCATGAGAGGGGTCAGGAATACTGCAAATCGCTGCTTGAACGACTTGGCATGAAAGTTTGAAAGCCACACGCTTTAGCTTTCGTTGACGGGACGGCAAGCAAGTACTTTCATGCACCAATTAAGTAGGCTCCGGTCCTGTCGTCTCTGTTGAGAAGGACGCATGAACCGGCACGACGGCTGCGCATTGAGGATGGTGAATAGTGATGAAAGTGACGCTGCGCTTCTCACCATCAATGTCTGCAGAGACTCTCCACCGCGCGCGCCCCGCCTTTGGTGTGGTTGGTGCCAGGCGATGCCAACAGCGATGGGCGGATCAAACGTCTGGCGGGAGACCGCCAATGTATGGACGATGATGAATGATAAGACGGCCGAAGGTCGGCAAGCTGCAGCAGTGAAGCCATTCGGCGGCGGTGTGCGCTAAATTCCTATTGGAGATGCATGTAAAGACTTAGTTCAACGTTGGCGTTCCATGGCAGACCTTGAGTTCCACACTCACCCCTTCTTCTGCACATTATGAACGCCCTCACGCTGTGATCATCTACGGCGTTTGGCCGACGACCTTTGGAGCGAGGTGATGATGCCGATAGTGCGAGGTACCTTCCGAGATATCAAACAAGTCTTGATTAGATTTGGTCGAATGTATGCGGGACGAGCAGTCTCGCTGCGCTCTCGGACAACACGACTTCAGGCTCGCCGCTTTGAGTCTGGCATGGATAGCCAAGCCCAAATCTACAAGCTGGAGCGAAAGGTGGACGTCCGTAGCTCGGCGTGTCTTAAAGAGCTCCCCCTAGCCCCTCATCATCTACTCTGCCTTCGCCTGGCTCATAGAGCGCAGGCAGATCACGATGAATGGCACGACGCTGTGCAGCAACCTGTGAAGGCTAAATGTGATCGGTGTGGAGCTGCAAACGCTAGATGCGATGTGATATGGCCCGGTTCGGTCGCCCCCTTAGCGGCGGAGCCAGCAACTACTTCTCGGCGGGACCCGCACTGGCCTCGTCCGCCTCCTCTTGTGTCTTTGACCGCTGACTCGCGGTGGACATGACTTCCCTCGAAGCCACTTCTTCCGCGGTCATTGCGCTACTTGTTCATGATCAAGTCAGGCGCATCGAGTGGGGTATACCTACACTGACTCGTGT